GAGAGAGAGAGAGAGAGAGAGAGAGAAAGAAAGAGAGAGAGAGAGAGATGTAGAGACTGATCCACGACGATAATACCGGAGCGATTGCACGGGGAATTGACTAAGCCTCGGACAACTTCCGTTCCCGTTTTCGAATTTCCGAGAGCCTCGCGAGGACGCGGCTGGCCAGAAATTGTTGAAACTCGTGGAAACAATCTTAATGCGTGTACATATATTTACGTGTCGTCTCGGCGATGCGCGCGTATACGTGTACATATGTATGTAGAATTAAGCGACGATGAATTTCCGGTTCGGTCGGCAATGGTCCTCCCGCGAGTCGAAAAAGATACACTTTGAAGAAGTTTTTGGACGAAGTATGTACGAGCGGCTCATTCACTGAATCGATCAACTTTCTCGATAGCGAGATAAAAGGTAGAGAAATTGATAAAACAGCGTGCACGCTGTGTTTCGAAGCTCCTTTCAAAATTTAGACTATTGTAAATTTAATAATTTGGAATATTCACTGTGCGCTTTTGAAACGAGTTATTTATTATTCCAAGGCTAGTCTTAAGAACTTTAGTCACTTAATAATGTTAGATTTAATTACTAAAGATTTTAAGCAACGAACAGAAATTTTGAAAAATTCCAAACGAGGTCAATCATTATGGCTTTATATGTAGTACGAAGCCTCCTCTTTTTACACGTGTTTTTGTTACATATCCCGTTTCATAAAGAATCGTTTATTCTATTAAAAAATATGACAACTAGGTTAATACTTTTTTTCATAAGAAATATACAGATAAAAATGATTTGACTCCATTTAAAGAAATGAAGTTAACCAAGCGACTCAGTCTGATATATTTTTGTCATCATCAATAGCGACAAAAGTTGTTTATTCTTGAGTCTTGTTTTACACGATTCATTTATTAATAATTGTTTCGTAAAATACACACGCAATCTAAAAATTTTATTGTCTGTAATAAATACTGAATATTAAAAACAAAATTAGTATTCTAACGCTTCTAAATGGCAGTGTCTGTTATCAAAAAACGTTGACAACACGATTTTGTTCGAGAACATTTCCAAAAAATGTTTTCTAAAAAAATTGGAAGCATTTTATTTTCTATGATATCGATATTTTATTTTTTTTCTTGCATTTTCTTTTTTTGATATATATGGAAAATAAAATGAGTTTTTTTTGTAAATCTCAGTCGAATATTTTCGGTTGAAAGGTCGAAAATATTATAAAATGGAAAGGTGCATTTCTTTCTTGATGATATGTAATCAAATTAACTAGTAAATGGTAATTTGTGATTGATAAAAAATACTTGAACAAAGTATCGATGTGCAAGGTTCACTAAAAATTGCAATTTCGTCGATTATCAGGCTGGTTTCCACTTCTATTTGTGAATTTGTGTTCGATTGATGTTGCTGATTAATTATCCAATGGGATTTCTTTTTAAAAACACTAATTTCATTATGATGAAGCTATGTAAAAAGGAAGGATTCTAAAGTTTTTGGTACAAATATTCGAGTGAATCGAGGTTAATGAAAGATTCTGTGGAAAAATGATATGAATGAATCTTTTTCAAAATTTTTTATAAAATTTGCTAGATAACATTCTACTTTACACATCGAAATGATTTTAATTTGTGAATGTTTGAAACTTCATGGCTACATGTTGAAATATATTTTAATATAATAAATAAAGTATGTTAATAAATATAATGAATATATCGAAAGAAGATAGATTTAGGGAATATAACTTTACTTAGATTCTATCTTAAATAGAGAAAGATCTAGAAATAATCTTATTTGTTTATGGGAAAAATACTAGCCGATGTATTACATATATAGATACAAATATATGTTAAGGACTATTAATGTTATATATCAATAATAGAAATTTATGAACATTATCATATTCATATCATAAGTTTTTATACTTTCAGTAAAGTTAGTCTCATGCTTTCCTCATAAAAATATTAGAAAGGTTTGTTTCCATTACCGATTAAAAAAAGAAATCTTTTTTTTTTACAATTCGAAACACATTGAATTTTGAAAGAATGTTTTTATAGTTAGAATAATTCATGACTGGAATGCAAATGCTCACGCATTGAGAAATTTGCAGTATGTAAACAATATGCAAAAGTGTATAAAATATTCAAAGTAGGCCATTTGTTACATTGCTACAATGTTCAGTAGACGAAACAAATTTCTATGTAGAGAAGTATAAAGTCCTCATTTAATTTGTCACTTTTCCTTTGGATCTCTCAATTATTCCCAAAGTCTTTCCCATTAATAACAAACCTTATTAACACGTGTAAAATATCAGGAGAAATCTAAATATATAAAAAGACCGGTGGCAAAGCGCAGGAAGACCATCCACCGACCGATCGTCATCGTAATTCCCTATAAATCGAGCGAGCTAATGAAATAGTCGCGCGAACAACACGAGTTTCACGATTGTTTGATGATAATCGATCGAAAAAGGGGACTCCGTTACGGAGAATAAATGTACGTCGAAAAAGGCCAATAATACAAAATGGTCACTGAAGAGTTGCAGCTGGATTAAGCAGCCTATATAAACGCGGCGTTAACGAGTCCGTGCGTAGAAAAAACGCGAATCGAACGTGTTTTAACCCCCTCGAAGATAACGAAGTATTTCCAAGCGCGCACTTCGTGTCATCTCGCGAGATCGCGCTCGATAAATTCGATTCGAGTCTCTTTAGCGTCCGACACGACGCGTTTTCAAAGTGTCCTCACCGGTCGCCGGTGGAATTCCGCTTCGCGAACGATTCGTCGATCGTTCAACGAGATCTGAACCTGTTTCTTTGGGATTCGATAGAAGAAAAAGAGTCGATCTTTCGTTCGTCGTTGCCTCGAAGAAGTTTTGGAATTATTATCACTCACCTTGGGTCTACTCGTTGACTTGGAAACCAACGACTGACGATTTGCTAGTTTAATCGTATTCGAGTTCTCACGAAGCTTGTAGGTTTGGTGATGTTAGATTTTATGGGGGATATAGATTTTGCTTTTTGCAATGTTCTCGTAATTTTTAGTTTCAGCTGAAAACTGAAACTGTAGATTAGATTTTGTTTGGGTTACTAGTTTGCTTTCTATTAATTTTGGAGGAAGGATATTGAATTGGATATGATAATTATTATTGTACCATATTAAATATTAAATATGAAGTTGTTTAATTTCGAATTTGTGAAATTAGATCCAGAGAGTATGCTTAGAACGTAGGAATTTAGAATTCTATTTCTTATAATTAAGCTTGAAATTTTGACTTTTAGAATCCTTTCATTTTGGAATATTTTTAATTAAAATTAAAATTACCATTGTGCTACGAGTCTGGCGAAGCTTCAGAAATTAATTCAGATTAATTGCCACAGAATTTAGAATTTGAGAGTGGTATGTTATTTTTAGATTTCTAAGATCTCAAATCGATTATTCCGCCTTTCGCCGAAATTTTTCTCCGATTTGAATTTTATAAAATTGAATCTCGAACTAGACAGGCTCGTCATTCATTGCGTTTAAAATTGAAAGATTTTGGAACATCCCCATTTCCAGACCTTTTAAAATGAAACTCCGGTTCGATTTCCCCAGATCCAATTTATTAAATG